CTCTTAATCAACTAAAAAATAACTAATTATTAAAATCAAAGCGACACGTTTCAAGATACGACTGATGCTAGATTACCGACTAGGCTCCCAACTGCCTTCATCATAATCGCTCTATAGCCAGTTTAGGTGGTCTATGAGGCGTGGGTAAAGAGCCATAGTCCCGCTCGACCCCGCTCCATTCGAGGTAATTTTTCCTGCTAAGGATATTAGCGCGGCGTGTTTTGAATCAAAGTTCTATAAACAAGTGTCTGGAAATGCTTATAGAGAAACGGGGTTTTGAAGTTTTCTTTAAAAACNTAAACATTAAACAATATAGGGTGTTCTACAAGCTCTACAACTTTGATAGATATTAGGTGGGTAAATTTCAAACATTTTTTCTTATATGAACATAGATCCGATTTGTTTTTCTTTTTAAGTTACAAACATTTTATAAAATATAATTTCATATTTCAACCAAAGTAGCTTGTTAAATAAAAATGATGATTGTTATAACAATAATTTCACAGGCCGACAAAATAAAAAAATCGTGTGTTTTTGAGATGTGACTACCTATCTGTAGTAAAATTTTCCGCTGAATCCGAAAATAATAAAAAGAAATCTTTTTATTTGTTTTATTGGAAATGAAGCAAAGTCGCCTAAGTTCATATTTTAGTTTCATCTTTCTTGGAGTATCACCACTAAAATGTGCTGACTTAGGTCAGAATATGATGATCGTGACGTGGTAGGTTGGTTGATATATATACTATTGCATTGTGTGTGAACAAAATTATAAAGTCAACCCTGGAATACTGTGACCTTAACCAAGAAATGGCGTATGGCGCTCAAATTTATGTTTTATACACCCTTAACTTGCCCTATAATGACATCTAGGCTCACTAAGTTGAATTCTCGTTGTATATCGCTTATTTTATTTATCTAGAGAAGAAAACTTTTCGGATCTCTTAACCAACTAAAAAATAACTAATTATTAAAATCAAGTTTCCAGATACGACTAATGCTGGGTTACCGACTAGGCTCCCAACTGCCTTCATCATAATCGCCCTATAGCCAGTTTAGGTGGTCTATGAGGCGTGGGTAAAGAGCCATAGTCCCGCTCGACCCCGCTCCATTCGAGGTAATTTTTCCTGCTAAGGATATTAGCGCGGCGTGTTTTGAATCAAAGTTCTATAAACAAGTGTCTGGAAATGCTTATAGAGAAACGGGGTTTTGAAGTTTTCGTTAAAAACTGTTGTTTATTAACATTAGAAAAACTCTTTTTCCGATTTCATCGAAACCATCCAGGTTTGTTTATTATAATAAAATAACATATTTTAATGCAATTAGATTTTACACATTTATTCCAGTAATTTCACATATTAATAGGTATGTTTTATTTTTACAAATTTTTAATTTGGGAAGGCTTGGATTAACAATCAGCTCTCAGATATTTAAACACAGGATACGCTTTGCAGAAATAAAAAAATGTGTTACCTACCTGAAATTTTATATGATATTTGCTCCATACAATTAGGGAAAGTTCTTTTAGAAAATTAAAAACACCCACTATAGTGTACCTTTTGTTTCGTTTATTGACCTCTGTGTCAGAACTTTTAAAATTTTTTTTGCTCGGCGAAGTGCCTAAACAAATAAGACATGATATCCGCACGGGGTGTTGCGTCGTCTAAATCCCAACAAAATTCACTGACGTCAAACGCACAGAAACTCATTGAAACTTTGCACGATAAGCTGGCAGAAGTCTCATTCTAAAAGAATTAAGTGAACGCAACAGGGGACATTGTTTTCTGCGTTAAGAAGTTTGAAACCACTAAGGTTTTACGCTTAATTGGTAACTTTATGAAACGGCCTAATAAAAATATTTCTTGCCTAGTTACGACACATGTGCAAACTGATGATAAAAGTCCGTATTTGGCCGTACGTAATGTGCATGTCAGATGCAATGCAACCTTTATAGATCCACTAAAATGCTATGACCTATAACGGAGGTTCTAATAACATTAAAGTAAAAATGGCGTTTCGGATTTAAAACCGCGCTAAAATTAAATTCAGAATAAAAGATAAGAGATCAAGTTTAAGAATCATATTATTATAGCGATATAAGAGTTTAAAATGAAGCGATATTCAAGTCAAGTTCGTAGAATAAAATAAATATTTCTGTGGTTTATTTTTATACTGAACGTGGGTAATAATACTTACTCTTAGTTGTATCACGTTTGCCTTGGGCAACTTAATCCGAGAACGTACAATTTGCAGTGTACAAGCTTTGAACGCCTATTACCCTGAAATATACGAAAATATAAGGGGATTCCCACGTTTTTGTTTTGGGTAATTGCCAATTAACATTGACTTCAAGTTCGTTACTGGATTTTCTGTGCCTACGTTTTTTGTATCTGATACGAGACCCTAAAGAAAAATTGCGCAAATTAAATGTTTAATGGAAACAATACTCAAAATTATTTAAATGTAGTCAGCGAGTGGTTTTTTATCTCCCTTAAACGAGTATACCAGAGTTGTTGGCGCAAGTAATAGTTGTATAGATAATTTTTTTATAAAGAGTAAGTTACAATATATTACATATGTTCCAATAACCCTTCAAACAGGTATATCTGAACATTTCCCTAATATTCTGCAAGTGTCTTTCCCTGGAATTAAAAAAGAAATTATAAGTACAAATAAATATAAGTATTATCTTAATAAAGAAAAACTAAAATCAGCTTTACAGAGAGAGAACTGGAACGAGGTTTACTCTTGTGATAGTGTAGATAAAGCTATGGATATATTTATAAATAAAATGAAACTAAATATTGCAATATGCATAAACAAAGTGAAATTAAAAAATAAACAGATTAAACGGAAAGTATGGATTACTACAGGTTTATTAAAAAGTATTGAAAAAATAAGTATATTGTACTCAAAAATGCAAGCAAATCCTAGCTTAGAAAATAAAACTGAATACAACAAATATAGAAATAAATTAAATGATTTAATTAAAATCACTAAATCAAATTACTATAAATCTAAATCATAAATAATCAAAAAAATTCTGTAGAATTGTGGAAATGTGTGAAAGAAATAACAAATGAAAAACCGAAAAAGGCTGAGATCAAACANGAATACAACAAATATAGAAATAAATTAAATGATTTAATTAAAATCACTAAATCAAATTACTATAAATCTAAATCATAAATAATCAAAAAAATTCTGTAGAATTGTGGAAATGTGTGAAAGAAATAACAAATGAAAAACCGAAAAAGGCTGAGATCAAACAAATATTAACTTCTGAAGGTTATGAAACAACAAATATAAATAGAATTTCAAATGAGTTTATTGACTTTTTCACAACTATTGGGAAAAGTCTCGCAAATGAAATAGAAAACAAAAATGTAAATAATAAAAACTATAAAATTACTCAACAAGTAAATTCTATGTCGTGGAAACCATATAATCCATAAAAACAAAAAAGCACCAGGGATAGGCAATATTAAAGCAGAAACGGTGAAACTTGTCGCATTACAAGTGTCAAATTACAGACCTATCTCCTTGATTTCGAATGTTGCGAAAATTTTTGAAAAAATAATAAAGAAAAGAGTAAACAGTTATTTAAATAAATACAGTATTCTATCAAATCAACAATACGGTTTTAGAGAGGGTATCTCGACACAGGATGCAATATTAGCATTAACGTCACATCTTTATACAGCGCTAGACAGAACACAACCTATTATTTGTGTATTTGTTGATTTAGCTAAAGCGTTCGATACGGTGTGTCATACTCAACTCCTCCAAGTATGTGAGAACATCGGTATTAGGGGTACACCGTACAAATTAATAAGCAGTTACTTAGCAAATAGAAACCAGTGCGTAAAAATTAATGATACATACAGTGATTATAGAACAGTAGAGTATGGAGTGCCTCAGGGAACTGTTTTAGGGACGTACCTAAATGATTTATTTAAAATACATACTGAGGGAAATATAATTAGCTTTGCAGATGACACAGCTATAATCTACGAAGGAGAAACCTGGCAAAGCTTAAAGCATAAAGTGGAGAATGATTTCAACAATTTAATTGAGTGGTTTAATTACAAACTTCTTACAATAAATTTTAAAAAAAACATATTGTGTTCCATTTACATCTTATGCGTGTTATTTACCAAAGTTTGATTACTTATCTTTAACTGTGAATCAAGAGCAGATAATAATAAAATCTGTTAAGACTATAAAGTACCTCGGGGATCAAATTGATTCACACCTAAAATGGGATTCCCATGTAAACATCTTAATTAAAAAAATTAGATGTCTTTTATACAAATTTAAATATTTAACCGAGATACTCTCACTAGATCAAGTAAAACTATTATATAACGCTCTGGTAGAATCTCATTTAACATATGGCATTATTGCATGGGGAGGTGCTACAAATAATTACATAGGTAACTTGGAAACTATTCAGAAAAGTATATTAAAAATAATTTATAAAAGAAGTTATACTTACTCCTCTGATTTGCTTTTTGCGGAGACAAACTTGTTTGATGTAAGACAGCTTTATTGTTATGTTTTAGTTAGAACACATCAAAATAAACAAGAACTGGTAGATATCGATCATGATTATAACAAATACACAGGAGCCTCTAAACTACCTAAAGCTGATAAAGCAATAATGCAAAGAACGTTTATCTACTTATAATTAACAATATAAATATGTATAAAAATAAAATTAAGAATTGGCTAAAAGATAAACCTAGACAGCAAGCTCATGAATGAGTAACAAGAAAAAAGATTTATTAAATGTGACCACTATAAATTTGTATTCCTGAGATTGCAGTCATGACATTGACTTATTTTGAGTGTTGTGTTTTTTAGATTGTGTTATTTTAATATTGTAATTTTACTGAGCCGTAAATAAATATTATTATTATATTATTGTTATAATACTATTTCCATTAAACCCCTCATTACTTGCTTCGTTGGTTGGAATGACTTAAATCTAAACTGCTCACCTGTCAAGAGCTATAGCAACGAGGTGCAGAATAGATGCAGTGCAGCAGAGAACATCGCTGGAGGTCCACATGTCGCAAAGTTCGGGTCCTAAGGTCCATTCCTGGCTGACTTCATAAACGGCACCCAGAGGCATCACCAGACACGCCACCAAGAGGTCTGCCACAGCCAGCGACAGGATGAGATAGTTGGCCACGTTCTGGAGGTTTCTCTCCAGGAGAATGGCCGCTATAACGAAGACGTTACCTGAAAAAATGGTGTTTACTAGTTAAAATTGAAAAAAATGAACTTTTATAAAAGTTGTTATAAAAGAGCTAAGAAAAACATCCATACAAATGTGTGGCCAATAGTACAAGGTATGTTCCAAAGTAAACAGGGCTTTTAAAAATAGTTATTTCTAGTGAGGCCATCTATTGGCAATTACATGCGTCGGAAAGGTATATCCTTCACTGATGTACTGTCAAAATTTCATGACTTTTGGACGAATAGAAGCGGAGATATTGCTTCTGAGTGACAGTATGTCATAGACCTTATGTGCGAGAGAAATACAACTAGTGCGGGCTTATGCTTCGATTACAGAACTTACTACACTTAATTTAACAAATCAGCTAGCTATACTCGATTCCTTACCCCTTTTTTCTGTTGGGCCGTATTCCCGTTTGAAGTTAAAATGATTTTAACCACATTTATGTGTGGCGGCTACATTTTGTGAAAGTATGATTAGGTTAAAAATTTTGAAAAATGATTAATTAGGTTTTTAATTATATTCAGATGAATGGCAGAAGGGACAGCCGACGAATTTGTGATCTACAAGGACTTTATAAAAATAATATGGAGACTAGAAGACACTTATGGTATTAATAATAATTCTTTATATTAACTCAAACTGAATTAAATTCGATTTCTTTTCTTTTAACAATACATATTTGTACCAGTAATTTTAATTATTATTAATGAATAAGAGTATAAGCTGTTTAAATGGAATTTCTGTACAAATTGGAGGTATTAAAGGGGGAATGTAATAATTAGAAATTTAAAGTCAAAGATATTTTATTATACATATTTAAATAATATTCATAGTTACAGTATTCCAAATAGTTTTTATAATGCCTTCTTTATGTATTTTTCCATTCATATCGTAAGCTCGATTAGTTAAAATTACTGCAAGCTCTTCCGACGCAGTTGTTTCAAATAGTTCATATTTTCTTGCTTCGCAAAATTGCAATTTTGAAACTATATTCAACATACAGACAAAATCTGGAAATCGTTACCTCCTGATGATGGATTATTTCAGTAAATGGCTAGAGGTATGTTTTATTTGAAGAAAATTTTTGCTGAAGCACACTATAAGTACAATTCAGTTGAAACTGTTTATTTCTGTTTATTTACATTCAGTTTGATGTTAAAAAATAATTTGAACAGTGACACATTTAAGAGGGCAAAATTTTGGGGTTAAAATGACATCTTATTTTGAGGATGGGAAATCAGAGACAACTCTACTTGGCCATTATTTCCAGAAAGATGCGAAAAGTATAAACATGTTGGTACCATAATAACCTTTTTCCTACCTATGAAATTTAATTTTTTCTTCACTTAAAGGTCTCTACGCAATTGGTCGCTGAACATGATCATATTAGTTTTCACAAATATTTCATATACACTGAATCACACGTTAAAATTTAAGAAATCTTTCACATGACTTTTACTTTAAGGTTTGTTTACAATTTTTTTGTATCGGTATACCCGTGTTCGTGTACCATTATTTATCTTACCGGTATTAGCCTGCACTAGCTTGATTTGTCTTGCACACATCAGTGCGATTGACCTCTCTTTCTAGGTCCAGCCCATAGTTTATAAGGTCTATGTAGTATGTTTGTGAACGTCGAACAAAGAGCTAATATTAAGTTTTGTTTTAAACTTGGTAAAACTTTTACTAAAACGTTCCAATTGATGAACCAAGAAGTTTATGGTGATGGTGATGATGGAGACAGAATTTATGAGTGGTATACGCAGTTTAGAAACGATCGTGAAACATAATACATGTTGGCAAACCGAAATCTGTGATCACCGTAGATTCCATCAACACGCGCGTGAATTCATCAGCCAAAATCTTCATTGCAATTCGTGGAATTGGAATTCACTATCTCAAAGACATTAATTTATCGCATGTTGGCCAATTGGGCTACTGAAAAGTGTGTGCACTGTTTGTTCCACACAAGATAACTAATGACCAAAACTTGCTCAGAATTCAACATTCGAAGGACATCATCAATGAGGCCAAGAAGGACAAAAACTTCCTTTAAAACATCGTGACTGGTGATGAAACGTGGTGTTTCCAAAAGGATCCAGAGACCAATGACCAAAGTGCCGAGTGGAAGGCGCCAGACGAGCCAAAACCCAAGAAATCTTGTTTGAGAAGTCAAAAATGAAGACAATATTGATTTGCTTTTACGATTCCAAGGGCATTGTCCACAAAGAGTTTATTCGGGCCAAACCGTAAATGCACGATTCTATCTTGGCTTTTTTAAGCGTTTGTCACCACGTGACTTTTACCTTCTCGGAAAAATGCATTTGCCGATGAAAGGAAAGCGTTTTGTGGAGGTGAAGCGATCTAAAAGGCTTGCGACATGCAAATCGTCCAATTGAGTTGGAAGAGGACTATTCTGAATAAAATAAATCGATTTTGCCAAAAAAAATTTTTGTTGCTCTTATTTTTAAAAAGTCCTGTTTACTTTAGAACGTTCCTTGTATGTAATTCAATTATCATACTACTTAGAACGTTTCTCTGTAATATATATCCAGTGATATAATGACACATAAGTACCTAATTATCGTTAATTCAAAGGCATATAGTTATATTCCTCTGAGGAGGCTCCATTTTCCAGAATACGAAGTGAACTTGAGTGTAAGCATTCATTACTATTTAAAGATGTCTAGTCCTTCGCAGGGGGGACATTCTGAGCGGGAGAAAGGTCGTGTAACTGCTTCACATCCTGCACAGGGGGCAGCTCACAAGCATAAAGTTTCTTTTATACGGCAGATGTGTCTAATAATGCGAACAGAGAGTAAAAGAGTCCAAGGATGAAATGGAAAAAATATGTTCATTACGCGCTTGCTCATGTTAATAAAAGGAATGAATGCGTTTTTTTTTTGAAGTGTCACAAAAACTGTAGCTGGTTTTACACGTGTGCCTGCTATATCTTCATAACTATTCAGTAGTCTGCTAATAGTCACATTACAGATCTCTCTATATTGCTCTAAGTATTCAGAGTTTACTATATTTGGCTAATAAAACATCTCTCACTGAAAAAGCAGATGAGAACAAAATAAACTCGCTTTTGTTTTCACAAACTGCAATTATTGACGGTGTAAGTTTTATTATTTTCTTCCATGCAAAATAGTAGCACTGTCGGTATCGCAACCATAAAGTGTGTGTCTACTGTTTTTGTAAGTACTACCTATACAGGGTGGTCCCGAGGTAATGGGCCTAAATTCATGGGTAGATTCCCGAAGCAAAAATATTGCGATTTAGCTGAACTTACCTTAGTCCAAAAGTTGATAGTTAAAGAGATACAGGGTGTTAAATGTAAAATATTATTTTAGTTTATTTCCATTTATTTCTTAATAAATGCAAATATCTACACAAAATTTTGGGGTTTGGGGTTCTTTGGATAGAGGAATTGAAATTAGTTCACATTTTGGTTATAGTTCATAGAGGGCGACAGCTGCCGTAGATTGAAGGTGTTGGAAACGACATAACCTTTTTGTACATAAAGGTATCTCATCTTTGGTATCAAATTCTTATTTTCCTACTTTTTTCCACAAAAAAGGTAGACTTTATGAAAGTAGCTGTCTCACACCGTTTCCGAGATATTTGGCTTTGAAACTTCCAATGCTAATAGTTGAAATAATTAAAATTATTTAGAAATGTCAAAAACAAGGGTTTATTAAGAATTAAATAAATATTGTAATGCACAGTAAAATAGTAAACATTAGTAAAAATATGCCTTTTTGACAATAATTGCTCAAAATGTCCACCTCTAAATGCAATACATTTATCACCACTAACTTAATAATACCTGTAGGTAATTAATTGTAATTTAATGCAACAGCATTGGAAGTTTCAAAGCCTCGAAAATGGTGCGAGATAGCTACTTTAATAAAGTATACCTTTTTTGTGTAAAAAAAGTTGAGAAATAAGAATTTGTTACCAAAGATAAGATACCTTAAAGTACAAAAAAGTTATGTCGTTTTTAACACATTCAATCTACCGCAGCTAACGCCCTCTATGAACTTTAACCAAAATGTGAACACATTTCAATTCCTCTACTCAAAGAACTCCAATCCCCAAAATTTTGTGAGGATATTTATTAAGGAATAAATTAAAAAAAACTGAAATAATATTTTACATTTAACACCCTGTATCACTTTAACTATCAACTTTTGGACTAAGGTAAGTTCTGCTAAATCGCAATATTTTTACTTGGGGAATCTACCCATGAATTTTGGCCCATTACCTCGGGACCACCCTATATATCAAATTATTACGTTTTATTCACCAAAGTGGGTTATGATTTTTTGGTAATAGTTCCAATAACGTTTTTGGAACTTATTTGCTACTGTTTTGAAGTAACGAGTTGGTGGCAACTATGAAGGTAAATCTCAAAATGGTGCATGTTCCTTTTTAAGTAGACAATAATATATGTCTGTCTGTTACTGATATAATGCCATTTAGTTGAAGCTCAAATTAATCATGGAGCTGTGTTTATGAATGTATTATTTTTCATTTGTTATTTTAAAACGCGTTACATTACAGATAAAACGTAATGTAACTTAATGTAAATGTAAAAAGTTAATATGTTAGTAGAAATCAGACTTTTGAAGAAAATTTTAATCTCAAAAAAATTGTCAAAATAATAATAAAATGAAAATAATGTATCAGTGATATTTATATCGATATCAATCATCATTTGAACTAAACATATTTGCTTTAAAATTGAAGAAAAAGTTAAAAAAATATTTATTTATTAAATGCAAAATGGCTTCTACTACTAACAATAACTCACACTCAAATAAGTGTCACCAAAAAGATGAGAATCTTATCCAATTATGCTTTTATTTTATATTAGTATAATTTTATGTATTATAAAATGAACAATTTTTGAGAGAAAAATTTTAAATCTAGACTATAGTAAACCATATTTTTATGGTTGCCGAAAACTCAGAAATATGATGTATTATAAATT